GAGAGAGAGAGAGAGAGAGAGAGAGAGAGAGAGAGAGAGAGAGAGAGAGAGAGAGAGGATCTTGGTTTACTGGATGACTTGGTCAATGACGAAGATGGGCGGTCGTAATGGAACAACGTCGTGTAGAGTTATGACGTAGGGCGATCCTGAGCGGAGAAGGTTCCAATGACAAGAGGAGGAGAGGGCAAGAGAACGGAGGAGGACGCGAGGAGAGAGAAGAGACGGGGAGGAGGAGATGAGGTGCTTGAACGAACGAGATAGTTGTTGCTGAGAACAGAGGGGTGGTTCTGATTGCTAATCAGAAGAATCGTTTGTGACGGTTCGGACACCTCAGCGGCGGTATGAGCTGTAGGAATACTGGTGCTCTTGGACTGCTTGTGCTCGTCCTCCGACCTCGGATCCCCCCCTCCACCTCGCTCACTTTCTCCATCTCGTACTGTCCATCGTTTCCACTTTATCGACCCCCTTTCATCTCCTCCCCGACCATCTCCATCGTTTCCACTCTATCAACCCCCTTTCATCTTTTCCCAGACCATCTCCATCGTTTCCACTCTATCAACCCCCTTTCGTCTCCTCCACCCTCTCCTCGATCTCCTTCGTCTCTCCTTTCAACCCCCTCCATCTCTCCCTGTTCTCCATCTCTCCGCCTCCTCCCCTCTTATCCGCCGCGTTTCCCTCCCTTTCTTTCGACACTAAGCTTAGCCATCCCCCTCCTCCTCCTCCTCCTCCTCGTCTTCCTCTTCCTCTTCCTCCGGAGTCTCGTTCTCCTCGTCAATCTCGTCCTTTTTTTTCTGGGAAAGAAACAGCGCACTATTAATAGCCATTCCAGAACAAGTGTACTGAAGTGTACCGATCTCCCTCTCCCCTTGTTCTGCTCCCTGTCTCCTCCTGTCCTGGGCTCCTCGTCCCCTCCTCTCCTCCCCTGCTCCTCCCCTCCTCCGTCCCTCCTGTCCTCCGCCTGTTGGTGTCCCGTCTTCTTGCTCATCCACGTACCTTGGTCGCCCTCCCCGTGTCCACCTTCTTGTCATTCCTTCCTTCTCATCTTCTCCCTTCCTCAGCTTCCTCCTCATCTGCTTCCTCTCCTCCTTCCACCTCCTCCCTTCGTCCCCTTCTATTTCCTGGTCGTCCCTTGACGATCTTGGTGAATGTGGAAGCGGAGAGTGGGACCGGAATGATGATGATCGAGTATGAGGGAGAGTCAGCATGACGAAGGACAGGAGATCTTGAAAAGTTCTCTTCTGTTCAAATCGGACGTCGAAGTAGTACAGAGAAGCATGTGCCCATTACTTTGTGAATGAATGAAATACGGCTTGAGATCTCGAAACACAACACGATTATAGAGCCGAAATGGAATAAGCTGCGCTTAGAATCATTCCAATGGCTGCTAATGTTGCCAGGTTTCATGGCGAAGACACGGGTTCAAATCCCGTAACACTAAGGCATACTCCCTGGTCTTGAGGACATCGATTTAAAGCTCGAGTGAATGCATGCAGCCCTCTTTGGGGTGAGAAAAAAAAAAAAAAAAGGTTCGTCATCAGCGACGAGGAGATCTGAATGCAGGTATCGGTGAGGAGGTGGGTAGGCAGGGGATGATGAGGAAGAGCAGAACTGGCCCAGACAAGAGATGGGACTGGGAGGAGGAGAGGGAGATATGGGAATGGGAGGAGGAGGAGAGGGAGAGATGGGAGTGTGTGGAGGAGGAGAGGGAGAGATGGGAGTGGGAGGAGGAGGAGAGGGAGAGATGGGAGTGGGAGGAGGAGAGGGGTGATTGATCACGCGGAAATGGACGCAATGTAGTCCAACGCCTTCGTTCACGGAAAGAAAGGAGCATACTAGGAAGGAAAGAGGCAGCGGGTAATAAAAAGGGTCCAGCGGCACATTTTGTTTCCTTCCTAATCGGGGGGGGGGAGGAAACGCTCCGCCCACGAGGGTGGAGGCAGCAGCAGCGGGAAAAGGTCCACAGTGTTTCTTTTCCTAATTCGTAACAGGGAAGTAGTATTGTTCCCTCGATCACAACGCACCCTGATCATGAATATCCATAGACAAGTGATTTTGTCGTTCACCGATGCAGGGACGAGGTCCCACTAGTCGCACAGATGATGGGATTCAACGCCTGAATCTGGACGTGTTCCACGACAGATGCAGGAAACCGTGATTGATCTCCTTCTCTGCATCTCCGCTAAGAACCCTTCCGGATTCGGGTTCTTAATACGATCCTGTTTGCCAGTGGGACCTCGCCCCAGGGAGGCTGAGGGTGCGTTGTGTTCGGGGAAAGACGGGAGCAGTCACGGAGAAAAAAGGGGGGGGAAGGATGACAGTGCGTGGAGGAGGTCAAGGACAGAATGATGAAATTTTGGACACTGGAGACTAGACCCAAAAGGAAAGTCGAAAAAGGAAATAGTGAAAAAACAGTGGCCATAGACTGCTTCTCGTACACGCAACAACAGACATTCATGTAGAAACGCGCAAATTCCCGTATGTACTGTTCTCAGTAGAAACGCGCAAATTCCCGTATGTACTGTTCTCAGTAGAAACTTCATCGCAAATTCCCCGACGCGTTTCGGCCAGGCTGCGCTCCCGGCACTTCTCAGGGCATCGCCCTGCGGCTCCACCTACTTTCCAAATCCATCTGAGAAAAAAAGGAAAAAAGGAAAAAAGGAAAAAAGGAAAAAAAAGAAAAGCACCTCGCCGACGTGGATTACAACAGAATTTGCACGACAATGGCGCTTAGGGCATCGCCGCACTACTGTAGTAGCGAGGAGACTTTGCCGGCTGAATCCAGCTGCAAATGAGGTCAGGTTCGCCCGGCGAAAATCCCAGTTCGATGTGAGGATGCTGTTGAGTGGATCGAGCAACTGGGACTGCGCTTCACTACCGCAGGGTGTCGCTGCCCATCTCCTCCCTTTTACTCTCCTTGGGAGGAGGAGATTGGGGGGGTAAGGAGGGGTGGAGTGATCCTCTCTCTCTATGTGGAGAAATCTTTGTGGATGACACGCACAAAGCGATCTATCCGATGTATACCAAGCGACCATTGCGATCTGTACCAAAAAACAAAGAAGAAAAGAAGATCTGTCCAAGAAAAAGAAATGAAAGGAAGCCAGAACAGCATCGTTGAACAGGATATTTCCGTTTTTTTGTCTTCTCCACAATTGGATAAGATCTTACAAAAAGAGATCCTTTCATGGCACATGCATGGACACATCTCTCCTTCTTGGGCTCGCCTCACGACTCCTCTACATTTCCCCCGCCTCCTTCTCCTCCTCTCCCTTCTCCTCTTCCTCCTCCTCCACAAGAGCGATCTCTACCACCATGTTTTTAGCCTCAGCTTGCACAAGCCCGCACCTCCTCGCTCGTTCTCTCTCTCTCTCTCTCTCTCTCTCGCTCTCTCTCTCCCGTCTCTCTTTCTGGTCCTCTGGGATTCCTCTCACTGGCCCGGGGCTGCGTCACGACTCTCTCTTTCCGCTTCGACACGTGGCAGATGCACATTGTCTCCGCAGATGGCTCAGATCCCGGTGCCCAGATGCGTCCGCGGATGCGTCCGATTCCACTCTCCTCCGCCTTGGCTCTGTCCCTGGTTTCTGCACTGGGGGGCCCTCAGGCTCTCCATTCGTGAATGCCTGGCTCTCTCTCTCTCTCTCTCTCTCTCTCTCTCTCTCTCTCTCTCTCTCTCTCTCTCTCTCTCTCTCGCTCGCTCGCTCGCTCGCTCGCTCTCTTTTCCCTCCCTCCCTCCCTCCCTTTCTCTCTTTCCGTCCCCCTATCCCCTTGATTCCGTCCCAATTCTTCCTCCTTGTAGGGCTTTCTTCGGCATAGATAGATTTTTTTTGAATGCGACAAGAAAAAGGAAGCATTGAGGACTGGAACGATAGAGGACCGTCATTAAAATAAAAAAAAGCAAGAATTGAAGGCAGGAAAAACAAAGAAAGGACAACTGTCAGCCAAAGAGTTGCAGTAGACGTGCGAAAGGACTCAGGAAAGGTAGTTCAAAAAATTAGGGCATACTCACACTTGACCTTTTTCCACTGAATCTGGCCGTAATTGCTGCCAGATGCACCTACGGAAGTCTTAGCATGAGCACCTCCTTTATTTAGAGTGGCTGACCTTAGCGGCCGCCAACGACGAGCATCATTGCATCATTTCACTATTGTGTGTGTGTGTGTGTGTGTGTGAGAGAGAGAGAGAGAGAGAGAGAGAGAGAGAGAGAGAGAG